AGGGCAGCACAAAACCAGGACACACCACTGCTTCCGTGTGCTCTCTAGTGATGCTGGGCCGGAGTGATGTCATATTCCGGCTCTTGGCATCACTACAGAAGGCACGCGAGTGAGCAGAGAGGAACCAGAAACACGCCATTCAGGACAACCATTGACCCTCATTTCATGATGGCAGGTGCCGCATGGATCTATGCGCAGTTTCATATGCTCTGTGTGCTCCTTCAAAAAGGTGTGCACGCACACCTTAGAGGGATCAGTGCTTGAGAGATATGCCGTACTTTGGCAGTGAAAACAAATACTGCACATGGGTAGGTGTAATTCTCAGAACTTCAAACCTTGTCAGTCTCATCACTGGGTGAGGCAGAGCTGGCAGTGGGGGTGTTCATGATGCAGTTAGCATCACAGACAACATGGCTGCCCTATAAAGGGGCGTATTATACATGCACGCTTGTGCGCCAGGATGATATGCTCGCTCCTCATGCACCGTATGGCGTATTGGCTATAAACATCCTGAATTTAACTGGAAGTGCACCCTGAGTGTTACAGGGGTGACAGAGCCAGGCTGTTGCATTATCAGGAGGAACGAGGAAAATTAGGGTGACCTGGGTTCTACAGATTCTCTTCCCATATCCGCTGCTTTTTTACCACTGTGAAAAAGGGTTTATTGTCCAAAGACTGTATAGATAAGAGTTTGTTTTTTTTTGTGGCGATAGGTGTTAAATAAAAATAAAATATGGAAATTTTCTTTAAAAATGAATTGACTTCATAATTACATGAGTGCTTCTAAGTGCTGCCATCAATTCACAGGGAACCAATACACAGAACATTGTGTGGGAGGGATAATTGTACATACAGAGCTTCCTAACACAAGGCTGATCATGCCATCTAATGGCGGTAATAGGTTACTGCAGGGTAGTTATATTTGCAGTAGTGAAACCGTTTATATATAATGTACAGTTATTATTATTTATATAGCACTAACAAATTCTGCAACGCTGTGCATTAGGTGGACATGTATTTGCAACAATATGAGTTGCACAGGAACAGAGGGTGTTGCAGGTACAATACATAAATATAGACGTGTATGTATATATTTGTAAATAAGTATGTATCAATTTACTGTGAAGGATTCTGAACCACAGCCGTGCCATCTGCAGCTCTGTTTACAAAACTGTATGCTCTCTGCTGTCAGGACCGTCGGCAGCAGATCCACTTATTCTATCAGAACAGGGGATTGCGGAATATGCTCAGATATTGAATTTTTTTGAGAATTCTGATTACAAAATCATAAATCTACGATGGACATCAGGACCTTACAATATCTCTAGAAAGTAAACGCCAATCCTTGTCAACCCAGGCGGACACTATCCTGAGATTTATCGCTATACGAATTAATGTCACTTTTGAATAGATCACTAAAGGTCAATGCTGTTAGGAGCACTATGACTTTATATTGTGCGCATATTCACCTGGGCAATCACTTCTAACTAAGAGCAATTAGCACAAAACAATGTATGTCTTTTGATGTGTGTGGACAATGCTCTCTGTGAAGACAATTTGAAAAGAAGTTGATGCTGCTGTGCAAATTCTTTAGATATATTGTTTATTACATTTGCCGTTTACTGCTATTACATTCGTTGGATTTATGACTTAAAGGGACACTATAGTCACCTGAACAACTTTAGCTTAATGAAGCAGTTTTGGTGTATAGAACATGCCCCTGCAGCCTCACTGCTCAATCCTCTGCCATTTAGGAGTTAAATCCCATTGTTTATAAACCCTAGTCACACCTCCCTGCATGTGACTTGCACAGCCTTCCATAAACACTTCCTGTAAAGAGAGCCCTATTTAGGCTTTCTTTATTGCAAGTTCTGTTTAATTAAGATTTTCTTATACCCTGCTATGTCAATAGCTTGCTAGACCCTGCAAGAGCCTCCTGTATGTGATTAAAGTTCAATTTAGAGATTGAGATACGATTATTTAAGGGAAATTACATCTGTTTGAAAGTGAAACCAGTTGTTTTTTTTCATGCAGGCTCTGTCAATCATAGCCAGGGGAGGTGTGGCTAGGGCTGCATAAACAGAAACAAAGTGATTTAACTCCTAAATGACAGTGAATTGAGCAGTGAAATTGCAGGGGAATGATCTATACACTAAAACTGCTTTATTTAGCTAAAGTAATTTAGGTGACTATAGTGTTCCTTTAAGGGTTCTGAATGGCTGAGCCATTTACTGGTTTGGCAGAGCTTGCGGTGCGAGTTGCATAGCCGGGGGATTTGCAAAAACTGCAGGGACTTTAAATGTAAGTCTGTTTCTTATATTTTATTTTTTCCCAATTTATTTTGCATATTTTTAATGCTTTATCAGCAGAACACTTTTTAAAAATGGGCACCCAATCAGCATGTGGTGTTCCTTTAATAAGAGTGATTAAAGTAAAAATGTATCAATAACTCAAAGCTGAATTATCACAATGTAACTAATTTCACTGGTACCACCAACATCAATCCAAGGAATGCCCAGCATGCCATGTTTCCTGGTGTAAGAACGACCTGCTGTAAACTCCATTCATATCTGTGTATATTGAGTGCAGACAGTGCCAGTGAAAACCAATTACAGAAGTTATGTACAAAAACAACTCTGGGGCGACATTCTAAACATGAAGTAATAGTCACCATGGAAACCAATAGAATGTTCCTGACGATTAGAATGTTGCAAACTGATTTGACATTTGTACATAATGAACTAATATTCATCAGAATTTTCCTAAAGTAAATTTTCTGGGGCTCTCTAAATACAGCTTCTTCATATGAAAATGTGTTATTAGAAATACATTTTAGGCAGTTTATGCTTACCATGACATTTAAAGGAACACGATGATCATCCTGACAGTTTAATCCATGCAGTATAAAACACTGCAGTGTTTTAAAAACTGTAAACTCTACATTGCAGGGTTAAATCCACCTCCAGTGGATGTCTTCCTGACAGTCATGAGAGGCACTTCCTCCTCCAAATGCTGCTGATAGAGCATTTGATTGGAGAAGTGCAGCGATTGGCTGTGCATGTGTTCTCTATGTAAAGCAATGGATTGGAGGAGATTGTGATGATGTCAGCAGACATGCTGATGTCTTCGAAGGCGGAGCAGGTGGCTGCAGCAGAGGAGTCCTGGCTATGGAAATGAGTTGAGTAGTCTTTATTTTGCATACTTTTTTTAAACTCACAGGGGTGGACAGAAGGGGACAGAAAAGAAACTATAGTACTGAAATATCAATTGTTTTTTACGGGACTATAGGTTCCCTTCAATGCTAATCAAAAAAAAACAATGGGGGTTATTTATCAAACTCTTCTGAAAAGTGATGGTTACACATTATATCATTTTGATTTTATATATTAAAAGTGATAGTTTTCTTAATCGTAAATTCTGCCAGTTTTCACAGAAATTTCCATTTCAGAATACTGCCATATTAATATTGGTGGAAAATTTCTCCCACTTTTCTGTCGGAAAAAGTGAAAAGTTTATAAACCTATTGCATTGGTGTAAAAATGGCAGATAATCAATGACAGGGTGCAAAAAAATGTGACCGGAAAATATCGGACAGATTTAATGAATTAGACCGGAAAGTCTTGGCAACACTTATATATGCCCTGAATGATTTAATATTCCCAAAACACTTTGTGTTCTAGAATATTTGTTAATAACTCTGTTTATCGGTTGTATTTTCTATAATGTACAAAAACCTATGCCAATGTCCTCAATAATTCTAACATCCTAAAACGTAACTTGGAGGGGCATGGGGAAAAAGTATGCAATCTCATGGATAATTCCTGCAGAAGCTGGAAAATTGTACACCTAATTGTTTATACAGTGCAATCCTGATGTAATTAAAAAACACTCCAAGTACCATAACAGATATGGTGCCAAGATAGCCCTGGTGCCCCCCTCCTACAATGGATGTAGCTAAACTATATTAGAACTAAAACCGCAAGCTCTATTTTCGAGCTAAGCCTTCATTCATTGGCTGAGAGCAATCATCTGACACTTATATCCATTGATCTAGAACAGGCATAGGCAACCTTCGGCACTGCAGATGTTTTGGACTACACCTCCCATGATGCTTTGCCAGCATTATGGGTGCAAGAGCATTATGGGGGATGTAGTCCACAACATCTGGAGTGCTGAAGGTTGCCTATCCCTGATCTAGATTTAGGAGAGCTAATGGGAGCTCCTAAGCAGGAATTTCTGTCTTTCTGGCAGCTATAGTGGTGGCATGGGCAGTGCCCGATGGACCCCAGGTAAGACGTCAAACCATTCTAAAACAGTTTGACTGGTTACAATGGGTTGTTAGGACACTCCAGGGATCATAACCACTACAATTTGCCATAGTAGTTCAGGTGCTTGTAGTGTTACTTAAAAAGTGACCAGACATAGCGCCAAACACAATTCTTTGTGTGTGTTCAGTGCTTTAAGCAGTGGCGTAACGCCCTGAGATTTATCGAAGCGTCGGTGATAGGGGACATTTCTCTGGTGTCCCCAAGTGTAGGTCACCGGCGGAGAAAGGAGGACAGAATCCCATCCCAGTTTAGGACCACTAAACCTGGGTCATCTGGGGGCAGACTGGAGACATAATGAAAATTCAGTAAAATATTATTATTTATGGCTATTTAACATCTCTCCAAGTGATTGCTGCAGGCTGGTAGATGTCCAGTCACAGCATTGTCTACATTCAGTGTCAGTGTGTCAGTACATGCCCAGGTGTATAATAATAGTGCTTATACTGTATAATCCACATTTAATTACAGCATGGCACCAGCACTAACAGCATTGCTGTAACAGGTGTCCGTGTCAAACTGCTCCCCCCGGAACACGAGCGCTGGATGTTTCGTTCCGAGCAGAACATAGTTCCGAGGTAGCTCAGCGTTTAGTCTTCCGATGAGCCTGATTGGCCAGTCAGTGAGGAGAGGGCGTGTCGAGGCGGGGATCGCACTGTGATTGGGCAGGGTGGAAGCAGCTGGTTTCCATGGACCAATAGGATGTGAGATAGTGTGTGTTGCATGGATCAGACTATGCTGAGTGTGGATAACAGAGAGGGGCTGAGAGCTCACTGGGATACCTGGGCAGCCTTTCCAAGCAGTGAGTGTATTATATTATATTATATATAGTCTGTGTATTCTGTATATTTATTATATTCTGTATATTATATATAGTCTGTGTATTATATTATATATAGTCTGTATAATTATATATATATATTTATATTCTGTGTATTCTGTATATTATATATATTCTGTATAATTATTATATTCTGTATATTATGTATATTTATTTATTATATATATTCTGTATATTATATATATTTAATATATATTCTGTTTATTTATTATATATATTCTGTATATTATATTCTGTATATTTATTATATATATATATATTCTGTATATTATTTAATATATATATTCTGTATATTTATATATTTTCTGTATATTTATTATATATATTCTGTATATTATATACCGGTATATTCTGTGTATTCTATATATTCTGTATATTTATTATATATATTTTGTGTATTCTGTATATTATATACCGGTGTATTCTGTATATTCTGTATACTGGGGGCTAGTCTGCTGACTGGGGTCAGGGCATGACAAGTGCTGCCTTGTGGTATGTAGCATTCAAATGCTGCTGTAAGAAATTAATGGAGAACCTTTATCCTGTTCATCAATGTGTATGGGAGATGTGTGTCCAGGAAAACATGGTGAACCTTGCAGAATGTGAATGCCACTTACATGTCCTGGCCATCAATATGTATGAGAGATGTGTGTCCAGGAAAACATAGTGGATCTTGCAGAATGTGAGTGCCACATACATGTCATGTACTTCAATATGGATGAGAGATGTGTGTCTAGGTAAACATAGTGAATGTTGCAGAATATGAATTCCACATACATTTCAATATGTATGAGAGATGTGTGTCCATGAAAACACTGTGAATCTTGCAGAATACGAATGCCACATACATATCCAGTCCATCGATATGTATGAGAGATGTGTGTCCAGGAAAACATGGCAGTCCTGGTGCTGACTGAGAGCTGCTGGATGGTCCAGTTGTTTGGTGGGTTACAGCTCGCCAGCCACTGGAAGGGGAGAAGTTAAATCTATAGCTGTTTTATATTGTCACAGTCTGACTTTGTGTGTCTTGTGATGTCAAACATTTAAGTGTTGTTACTTCATGAGATTTTTCTCGCTTTGTCTTGTGATGCGTGTCACACAGGTTTATGCGATGTGCTTTGCAACGTCACACGTGGGTTTATTGAACCATATGATGTGATGTCATGCAGGTCTAGCTCTGTTTATGTTGCGATTTCAGGCAAGCAAGACGTGGACGTGTGTTTTGATGTGATGTCATCAAGGTTATGGCTTTGTGGTATGGTGGATGTAATGCAGGTGTGGTGTGATGTCACACAGGTTTATCCAAAATATATGCCACAGAATTTAGGCGCAATGTGATGTCACGTAAGATAAGCACTCTCTGTAGAGATGTCAGACAAGTTTGGATCGTGATGTCATGCAGGTTGTGGTGCTTTCTGATGTGATGTCACTTGTAATTAGATACTGGTTTTATAACTTTTTGTTGGTTTAAGGGCTGTATGTTGTAACATTACACAAGTTTAAGAGCTGCTTGTACTTCTAATGCTGTCCCTCTTACAGGTTTTCGAAGACACTGAGTAATTATGAAGGTAGTCACTTGCACTGCCCCCGTTAACATCGCTGTCATAAAATACTGTGAGTATTAGCGGTTTATTAAACCCACACTGGCAAATTGTTATCATTTGCCTATGCATTACACTTCACTTAAATCTTGTAATTCTATTTTTCTTTTCTCTAAGGGGGAAAAAGAAATGAAGACCTTATTTTGCCAATTAACTCCTCTCTCAGCGTCACACTGCATCAGGACCAGGTTAGTGATCAATCACTCTATTATCTACAATTTTTATGTTTCTGTAACTAGAGATTAAAAACTAAACCGTTTTTTGCCTGTTTTTACTGGAAAATGTGGTCACACCAACCTTAGGGTAATTATTCCTTTCTATCTAGATCCCAGAATTAACCTTTCCCTCTTATTCTAGTCAGTGACTCAGATTCTTTCCACATCCTGCATTCTAAATTATCATCCAAATATTTGCAATTACTATTCTTAAATGTATTTACTATTTCAGTTAAAAACGACCACCTCTATTGCGGCAAGCCGTGACTTTACGGAGGATAGGATCTGGCTGAATGGAAAAGAAGGTGATATCAGCCACTCACGTCTGCAGTCCTGTTTGCGTGAAAGTGAGTTTTTATTACCTGTGTGTGTACAGGAGTCTTCTGGCTAAGTTTAAAGGGATATCAAGACTTTAAAATTGAACTGTTGTGTTTTTTTTTTTTTTTGCATGACCTGTATTTACTGCTTTAAATGGACACTATAGGCACCCAGACCACTACAGCTCATCAGGGTTAACTCCTCTTCTAGTGACTGACTACCAAACAGCCACTAGAGGGACTTCCAGGTTATGCATGGGGACGTTCAGCGTCACCCAAAATCCCACAGGAAAGCATTGGGTTCTAGATCCCAGGGGGGCCCACGATGGAGGGGGAAGCCATAGCACCAGAAAAACAAGTTGGTCTTCCTGGCACTATAGTCTCCCTTTAAGAAGCCCTCAATTTCAGAGGAACAGTGCAGGAATTGTGGATAGACAGAGAAAAAATATCAGCATTATTTACCTCTTTTTTCTGATTAGCTTGATAATATTTCAGTATTCTGATTGGGTTAACAGTTGGAGCCAGTAAAATAAATTGAGCTGACTGTCCAGTCTTGGCCGCTAACTGTATGGTGTACAGAGTAGAATACACTATTGGCAGGGCCACTGTATGATAATAAGAAACCTCTACTCTATTTATCATTATTGTCTTTTTAAATACATGCTTCGGGTGCCAGCTTAAAGAGCAGTTGAACTAACATTCACCTTTACAATCCTCTTTCTAGTTCGCCGACTTGCGAGAAAAAGAAGGAATAGTGCAGCAGAGGACACGGTCTCCAGAATCCTAAACTACAAAGTTCATATATGTTCGGTCAACAACTTCCCTACAGCCGCAGGACTGGCATCGTCTGCAGCTGGATATGCCTGCCTGGGTAAGGCATCTCTTGCATGCTTTAGTAGTATAGAGAGCCTAGCTGTGCGCCACACAGAGAGTGTGAACATGTGCTCTTTGTCGTGATAATTTGTGTTAATAAAGTTATGCATTGTTCTCTCAGTTTGTAGATCTATTAGGTGTCATTGGATCAATATGCAAATCAATCACTATTCCTTTCAGCAACGAGCTGCATAGACAATAAGCTGTTTTTTGTTGATTTTCTTTTTTTTTTTTAGCCTAGGTGGTGCCGTGAAGGGACTTGACATGAGCATTGCCTAAATAAAACGTGCAATATTTTTTAATGGTACTGTAAATTTTATCTGCAAAGCATGCCATCTACCCTCTCTAAATATATCTTCCTGTTGTTTTTCCTGTTGTTTAGTGTACACCCTGGCAAAGTTGTACGGTGTGGAGGGGGAGCTGTCTGAGATTGCTCGGCAGGGATCTGGCAGCGCGTGCAGGAGCATATATGGAGGATTTGTACAGTGGGTGATGGGAGAGAGAGAGGATGGGAAAGATAGCCTAGCGCAGCAGGTGGAGACAGAATCTCATTGGCCAGAGCTTCGGATCCTCATCCTGGTGGTAAGAGGCAGAGGGATGTGGATTGGGATATACCGTGCCTGCATAGGCTGCAGCAAGGGAGAGCTGGGAAAAGCGTTTCATAAATATCACTTTGTAACTCTGTACTGAATACATTACAAGAGTTCAGCAATATTGATGTACCTTCTGTAGTAACAATCTGCATTACACTAACCTCCATATACATTCTAATATGATTTATTACTTAGTAACGTTCATTATGTGTCTATTTGGTTTTCACATTGTATCTTTAAATAATCTGAACAGTTGGAAATGTTCTCTGATTTGCCAGATGTAGGGCATCTCAGCGTAGGTGGCATTAATGGTCACAGGCTAACAACAAAACTCCATAATAATGGTTGTAAGGTATATTTGTATTTATCTGTTAGAACCGGGAAGCCCAGGTTTAAATCCCAGTCAGCTTTATCTGAATGGATGAAAAACGCGGGCATTGCACCTAATGATATCTATATGCCACCTCAAATCCTTATATATAATTGTACAGCGCTGCGGAGCATGTTGGCACTAAATAAATGCCAATAATAATAGTACATACCTGCCCTGATTGTACTTTATTTTTATTTTGTATCCTTGTTTACATCCTTGTTTTCTGCCATCATTGAAACCTGGAAACATTGTTGTCAATTAAAGAAAACACAATTGAGAGATATTATCATATTCCATGAATAGAATTTCCTTCTGGTGTTCTGTCAGGGGAAGCAATTCTCCACCAAGATCTCTAGGCTTCTATGATGCATAAAGCAGTAGCAAGGTATTTTTGCTCTCTGCTGAAGTTTATCATCAACAGCTATCAGAATAGATAAGTGATGTTTTTTTCCTTTTCTTTTCTTCAGGTGAGCGCTGAGAAGAAACACGTTGGCAGCACCTCTGGGATGCAAACCAGTGTTGAGACCAGCCCCTTACTAAAGGTAGCTAAATACCTGCTCTTACCTCCATCTTAACCCCTTCTTCATTTCTTTCACTTTCTATAGCCACTTCCCTGTCCTCTTTCTCGATTCGTTTTAAGGAGTTTTTTTTCACTTAGCTACAAATGTCTAAAACCTTTGCTAAGTTAAAAGACTGTAAGCACCATAACCACTTCAGTACACTGATCCAGCAGGCTTAGCTCAGAAAGAGAGTTTCTGGCTCTCTGCCGATGTAGTGCAAGCAGGGAGCAGCGCTTAGTGGCTCCAATATAAGAAATCAACAATTCTAAAACAATGTAGATACTCAAAATCGGAGGATGGGTGTCATGTAGTTATGGTGCTGAGTGTTCCTTTCATATGGTATCTTGGTATCATGCATGTGAGTACTTTTTGTACTGATGCCAAACGAGACTAAATAATTTAACTTGTTCCCTAGCTCCGAGCTGAGACCGTGGTACCCGAGCGGATGAAAGATATGATCGAGTCCATAAAGAAGCGGGATTTTGAATCTTTTGGCCAGTTGACAATGAAGGACAGTAACCAGTTCCATGCCACCTGTCTTGATACCTATCCTCCTATATTCTACCTTAACCAGATTTCACAGAGGATTATCAGCCTGGTGCACCGATACAATGACCACTACGGACAAACCAAGGTATGAGACCTTGGTAATGGCAAAAATGCCTGTCATGTTCTGTCAGTATCTGGTTCTGGAAACGTTATCTTCAGGAAAACAGTCTACTGTGTCAAAGGAATTGTGAAAGCCTCTAAGTCTATATCATTCAGAGAAGAAAATAATTAGAGTTGACATGATAGAAACCTACTAATGTATCACGTTTTTATATACAATATGATGATGCTTTTCATAGAGAATAGGGTAGCTGGAATCATGAGAAATGATCTGATTGTGGGAGAAGAGAAGATTTAGGGATAAATGCCAACAAATGTCATTTTACAGAAGGAGCAGTTGATGCATGGAATAGCCTTGCATCAGAGGTTTTTGGAGTGTAATTTAAAGGGATCCTATAGTGCCAGGAAAACAGTAATTTTCCTGGCACTATAGGGTTAATAGGTTCCCGCCCCCTCCCGCTGGACTGAGGGGGTTAAAAACCCCTTCAGCCACTTACCTGAATCCAGCGCTGATGTCCCTCGGCGCTGGGTCAGGCTCCGCCCACTCTCCTCCCCCGTCGACATCAGCCGGCGAGGGATACCTAATGCGCATGCACAGCAATGGCCACGCGTGCATTAGACCTCCCCATAGGAAAGCCTTGTTCAATGCTTTCCTATGTGGAAAATCTGACGCCGGAGGTCCGTAAAGATGTCCGGCGTCAGATAACAGACCAAAAGTCCATTTAGATTCTGGAAGCCCTGTAGTGGCTGTCTGTTAGACAGCCACAGAGGGCAGACTTAGATTTGCAATGTAAACATTGCAATTTCTCTGGATACAAGAATAAATTCTGGGTTTCGTAACTAGTGGTTGGGCAGACTGACAACTATTTGCTGTCATAATCTGTTCCTAAACGGAGTATTTTCCTCTAGGTTGCGTACAGTTTTGATGCAGGTCCTAATGCCGTCATCTTTACATTGGAGCCAACAGTCGATGAGTTTGTGGAGCTGGTGAAACGTTCCTTTCCTCCAGAATCCAATGGAGACACGTAAGTGTATTTAAGAAGCATCCTGTAAGGTTTAATTGGTAGCTTGGCTGTAAATTCCCTGTTAATTACTGTGGTTTCACATTGAATCTGATGGCTGCAGGTTTCTGAAAGGACTACCGGTTAAGCCAGGACTGCTCTCTCCAGATCTGCTGTCCGCTGTAGGATCTGATCTGTGCCCAGGAGGGGTCCAATATATCATTGCTACACAGGTATGTTATAGCCGGAACTCATAGCCAAATTAAAGAGCCAGTATCGCGGCTACATTGAAGTCCACAATCAATTAGTTTGTGGAGCTGGTGGTGTTCTCCTGGACACATGTCTTCTTCATAATGGTCGGTCGCACATGAAGTGCTGCCCTACAGTGTGCTGCCCTATAGTGTGCTGCAAGATTCCTTAAAGGGCTACTCCAAGCAACATGACCTCTTTACAGATTTGAAGTGTTTATGGTGCCTTGAGTCTGTATGTGTAGTGTTTCGATATGAAACGCTGCACCTAAGGAGTTTAACCCCTCTGTTACTGTAAGTGTAACTCCAACCCCATTGGGGCACCATTTGCCACCCAAAATTAGAGCAACAGACAGCCAACGGCGGTATGGCCTCCCTCCTCCATGCCACCCATGTCCTAAACTCAGATTGTTCTTTTTTTGTTTGTTTGTTTTGTTGTTTTTGTTTTGTTTTTTGAGGGGGGAGATTTTTTTTTTTGGTTACTATACCAAATACCGAGTTTTCTTGAAACCCTTGATTTTACTTACTACAAGACAGCACCTTTCCTGCGCTGCCCATCCATGCATGAAGTGATATGTGGGCAGAAAGACATGGGGGATCTGGTAACTCTCCAGTGTCAAGGTACAGCAAAGCATCATGGGGCTTGTAACGTCCCAACTGTTTTGCCCAATGTTGATTACTTTTGCTCCAAAGATGCAAATTAACTCCATTCTATAACGTTTTTAAATACATTTTATTTGCAGCCAGGACCTGGGCCATCTAAATCAGAAGATGTCAGTCTGGATCTGCTGGGATCAGATGGGCTTCCAAAGCAAAGTGTCTGAAAAGGATGTTGCAAAAAGGACTATAATTTATCACAGGATTCCATTTTTATTGTTAAAATGCTCATCGAGGTGGCCATAAGATCCTGCTTTTTTTTGTAATTTATATAAACCTCTTCCTGTGCCAGTAGGACATTGACTTTTTTACACGGCTTGGTTCTAGGACGGCAGCAGCTGAAGGTACACATTATGCTGCAAGAAATATAGGGATATTGTTGGCCACTCAGGGAATTAAAATGGCTGCCGGCACTTAAAAGTGAATTTTCTTGTGTCTGTTCAAAACTCTTCAGGAAGTAAATCAACACTTACACAGCCAGCGCACCCTGGCAAAAAAAAACTAGAATATTCTAGCACTTGTTCTTTGAAAATACTTGCAGGCTCTAATTTTATTCATCAGTTTTCCTTAAACAATATTTTGTTCTCCAAATTCTGTCTGTCATCTATTAGTCTCTAATATTTGCAGATCTATACAGCCCAGCTGCCATTAAAGGGAAACTGTCACTTCTCAGGGATTTACGCCTCAGAATAAAGCTGTGAAAATCACCTGTAACTTTTTTTTGCCTTTTTTTTTTTTTTTATAATCATAATAGCTCAGACAAGTCCCAGTCCAGTTCAGACAGACAAAGCCATGACACGCTTTTTTTAAATGAAGCGGAGAAATAGGAATATTTTTATGTCTCCTCCTTTGCTGAGTGCCAGGTGCAGAGGACGGCGTTTATAACAATGATTGACAGGGAGTTAAGATGGATGTGCCCAGTTGTTGGATAAAGAGGTGTGGATTTCTACATTTAATTAAAATTTTCACACATCACTAATACATATTAGCTAAATATAGGGATACGTAAACATAATATTAAAAATCGTGGATAGTGACCGTTCCCTTTTAACCCCTTAAGGACCAAACTTCTGGAATAAAAGGAAATCATGGCATGTCACACATGTCATGTGTCCTTTTAAGGGGTTAAATTAGTGAGACATTGCATTGTGACACAGGAGCTTTAGAGACACAATACATGAAAATGAATACAGTATAAAGATTAATAATCATTTAATAGGTGCATAGTGATGTTAATAAAACACAACAAATAATCCGATATACACAAAATATATCAAATACATGAGAAGACCATCACTGCGGTGGCAATTTAGGTCCTATTTCTCTAATACAGACATACTGCCGCTGGACACCTGATCGGTTCTTGATTGCTTGTCCAGGATCTAGCTTCCTAATAGAGCAGCGGTACTTTGTTCTGGACACAAAGCTGGGTTCCTGTTGGTTGGAGCAGTCCCTTCGTATTCAACAGGCCCCAGGCAACTTCACACAGTCAGCTGGTTAATAAAACATCACTGCCTTGTCCGGTAGAACCTGTGTTATAAAATTTAAGAATGGGTCCATGTTAAAAAATAAAAACCAAGAAGCTCTGCCATTGTGAAAGGTACATTTCTAAACTATTCAGAGAGGTGATATTTGCCGGCCCTTGTCTTACACTGTGAATGTGTCAGATTGCTGTTATAAAAACATGTCGAATCCAATGCATGAAGTTACTGTGATCCGCAGAACATGGAGCAAACCAGCCGAGTAGCAGAACATGGAACAGAGGTTCAAGCAATGTTTGGTGAGGAGACTGGAAAAGCAGGTGTGGTGCCACGTGTAGAATGTGAGGTTGCACTCGACACTGATCTACTGGCAGTGGTACTTGCAGTGCATGTTACTCGGCATAACTGTAATGGCGTACGCTCCATGCTATGTCTCAGGATACAGTACAATTCAACATTACCTTCAACATTAAAAGATGAAAATAGCTCTTCTATTATGTTAAGGGAGAGTCTCTCTTCTAGGGATTTTAAACATGATGTTTACTCACCCGTTATCTGAATCATGTCTGTCATTGAGGTCTGAAAAAGAAGATTGCACGTATCAGCTGATTTCCAGTGTTTTAAATGTGTCATTTCCAGAGAAGTGAAGATTCCCCTCTAAATTCAGAGATTAAGGGAGCACTATTATCGTATTATTTTATGTATGTTGTGGATATCAACAAGGGGCGCACTGTTACGATACTACAAACCAGTCTTTGTTCCTTGGGGTCTTGTGGGTTCAATGCACACCCAAATGCCTGTATGCCACCCCCATTAAACCATCATAACTTTAAAGGAATTCTATAGTGTAAGGAATACACTCCATTCCTCACTAGTGATGTCCCGAACGGTTCGCCGTGAACGGTTCGCCGCAGACTCCAGTCAGCAGACACATTCCAGCCAATCAGCAGCAGACCTTCCCTCCCACCTCCTGGACAGCATCCATTTTGAAGCTGCATTCTTAGTGAGCTGTCCAGGAGGTGGGAGGGAGGGTCTGCTGCTGATTGGCTGGAATGTGTCTGCAGACTGGAGTCCGCGGCGAACCGTTCGGGACATCACTATTCCTCACGCCTCCTCCCTTGGCCTAGAATGGGTTAAAAAAACCTTTGTGTACTTCCCCGATTTCAGTGCCTATGTTCCTCAGGGCTAGATCGGTGCTCCGCCTCCTCTAATAACATTCGGGGAGGGGGTCCAGCGTCAGGTGACAAAAAGTCACCTAGCTACTAGGAAGTGCCCCTATTGGCTGTCACAGTGCTCTCAAAAACTGCAATGATTTACACTGCATTACTAAGTGGGACACTGCACCCTGGTCACTTCAATGAGATGAACTGGTATGAGTGACAATAGTGTCCCTTTAATTAAAAAAGGATAACACAGCAACAACTACCATTAGAATCTGTGACCACTTTAAATAACCCCCAAATTCCTAGCTTGAAAATCACCAATGCTATACTATGGACCAATAAACCCAGTAGTAACCCGATGTATTAGTTGATGTGGGTGCAATAGTTACATGCAGAGTTCATTTATATTAAAGGACCACTATAGTGCCAGGAAAACACTGGGCCCCCCTCCCGTCGGGTTCTAGGGGTGGAAGGGGTTAAATCTTACCTGTTTTCCCCTGCCGGGCTCCCTCGGCGTGGGGAACTCTCCTCCTCCTTTTCGCCGTCATCGGCTAAATGCGCATGCGCGGCAAGAGCTGCGAGGCATTCAGCCAGTCCATAGGAAAGCATTCTCAATGCTTTCCTATGGACGCTGGCGTCTTCTCACTGTGAAAATCACAGTGAGAAGCGCCTCTAGCGGCTGTCAATGAGACAGCCACTAGAGGCTGGATTAACCCTAAAGTAAACATAGCAGTTTCTCTGAAACTGCTATGTTTACAGCAAAAAGGGTTAAACCTAGATGGACCTGGCACCACATTAAGCTGAAGTGGTCTGGGTGCCTATAGTGGTCCTTTAAAGGGTTTCTCCAACCACAATGACCATTTCAGTGACTTGAAGTGGTCATGGTGCTAGGAGTCAGTGTGTGCAGTGTTTCACTGATGCTCAGAAGATCAGCGCTGGAAGTTTAACCTGAAATCCAAATGAGGACATTTTTTTGCAGGTTATACAACAAACGATGGGGTTCAGGGGACCTTCTTTGTAGTTTCCAAAAGACCATATTACTCAGGAAATATCCTCCCCCCCTTCGTTACTTCTTAGAGTAACCTTTTAAAGAGCACTCCAAACACCATAACCACTACAGAGTGCTGTACTGGTTATGGTGTCAGAAGTGACCTCCCTCTCCAATCGTTTTAGAATGGATTGACTTCTCATTTGGGGTCCGCCAAGTGCCTGTCCCATCTTCTACTAACGTCTTCAGGGAGCACTCTGTTGAGCTACGCCCAGCGGTTGGCTAAGAGTGATCGGCTTTTGCACTGCCGGGCTTAGCTCAGGAGGAGCTTCGTCTCTAGGTTAGTAGTAGTAGTGATGCCCGGTTGGCTTAGCGCACTTTAGTAGTTATGGTGCTTGGAGTGTTTCTTGAATATTAAAACCAGGGCCTTGTGGGAACTGGAATGTTTCATGGGCATCTGATGTGTTCATAATGCAGTGACCAGACAAGACATTTTAGTCACTGACAGCCTGTTTCCTCGCTTGTTGCAATCACTTAATATATTTAGATATAAAGAACTTAAGATAGTGACCATTAAATCAGCATTTGTCACAGCTATTTGCACTTGGCGGCGTCCATGATTGAAAATGTATATTTACTGACAGCTGCATTGCTGCCGCCAATCATGCTCTGGAAGTGACAGTCCCTTATTCCTTCACCTTAGTAAATGTTATTAAAGTGTTAATTGAAGGTGAGTGGTACAGCGGCCTTAGGTAAAATACAAATCCCTCTGTAGCAAGTTTGTGTCCCCTCAATTTTCTGTGTTCGCTGATGTTCACGCAGTGATGGCAGGGCTGTGTGTACAACTGCGCACGCGAAAGAAGCGGGATATTTAATTACTGCATAATGGGGTTTATTCCCTAAACTCCGAATTGCATCGTTTTGAAATCGGGATTGTAAAATATAGGCAAAAATTAAAGATTTGAAAAAAAATCCCCTTTTTCTGCAGTCACACACTTGGCTTTTTTTTTGCCTACAATGTGCTATTTTATTGTAATTCACTACAGTTCACAGTTTAATGAATAAACCCTTAAGGCTTAGGGACCAGATAGATTGTGATGACAGCAACAAATGTAACTGGTCTTTAAGGGGTTAAAATGAACAATGCTTGCAGAATTGTGGATTAGAGAACTGAAATTGAGCAAGACAGCGAAGGACCAGCCCCATATAGGAGGAGAGGAGAATGGGCAATCCCATATAGGAGGTCATTATAAGGAGGAGGTTCCCATATGGAAGGAGAGGAGAAGGAGAAAGCCCACAGTAGGAGGAGAGGAGAAGGGGAGAGCCCACAGTAGGAGGAGAGGAGAAGGAGACAGCCCACAGTAGGAGGAGAGGAGAAGGGGGAAGCCCACAGTAGAAGGAGAAGAGGCAGTCCCCTATGGGAGGGGTAGGCTGTGTATATGAAACAGTTCGTGTAGCAGGAAGTTTTAATTAGTTCTAAATTCTCATCAAGTCTGCACCCCAGGGGCAGTCAGCATGGGGCAGATAGAATGGGCAATGTGGGCCAACGAGCAGGCCTTGGCATCTGGACTGAGTGAGTACCCTCTAACTGCACAATGTACCTGGGATACTTACAATGTGTTAACCCATTCTGTGCTGTGTACTGCCATCAATAACTAATGGGTTAATCATTTCATCATAATATCACTTATCTACAGCCTTTATTTTACTAAATGATCTAAAATAAAAAGTCTTTAGAATGTATTTATTCATAGCCACCTGTTATGTGGGGTACTTTTTAAAAGAATGTTGCAGATATTTTAGAAATCTGAGATAATTTCATTAAATGATAATATGATATTCATTTATTACTGATATCTTATTTTGTCCACCAGCTCCTCAAGGGTTAATATTCTAGGAATTCCACCTTTTAAAGCAATAATAATGTAACAATGAATGAGGAAGTGAAACCTGTGTGTGAGTTCTCCATCTGCCTCAAAGTACCAAACCCACATATTTACATCATGACAACTGGGGTTCTACACCTGTTCTTACCATTTAATCTGTCCATCCACCCCATGCTTAATGGCTACTGCGCTACAGATTATGTTGGTGCTTTATAAATCATGTTTATTCATTCCAGATAATAACCTGGCCAGCCAGTCTGGGTTTTTATAGCTGGTATTTTACAAGCCTTATTAATGCACTTTCCAGAACATATTGAGGTGTAGACAGGGAGTATTAGAATACAGGAACATTTTTTAACTTGTTACTTCCTGGTAAGGTGTGATGTAAGTAAGAACATTCTGAGAAAGGATTCATGGCATTTTAGAAGCTTTGTACCCCTTGCTGGCATTGGATTGTCCCTCCTGTGCTAGTACTGTTAAGTAGCAAATAATTTCACTTTATAAATGTTAAATTAGAAAGGTAAACGGCAAAGTACCGGTAATGCCATACTGTCCCAGCATTAAAATTAGGATTTGTAATTACCGTGCCGAGAACTCTGATTTACCTAGTGCTATAATGGCGCAGGGTGCAGCAGTTTAACCCTTGGGGTCCTCCCTCACTATTTCCATTTTTTTTTTTTAAGGGTCACTGGTGGTTAGGGGGGGCTTCATTTGAGCAGAGCCCATCCTTTTTCACCTTCTGTATCTGTTAACATCATTTTGTATGTAAACTACAATTTCCCTACTGCATAATTGTAAAATGCTACATAATATGTTGGCGCCATGTAATTGCTGCTGTTTATAATAGTGTTGGGGACTTGGGTTTAAGGAGTGTGAATGGTGACTCCCCACAAGCCATAACCACCCCCTAACTATGACAACCTCAAGCCATAACCACCGCCTATGACACCCTCAAACCACAAACACCCCCTAACTAAGCTTTAACCATAACCACCTGCAAACCATAAACACCCCGTCTAACTATGACAACCTCAAACCAAGCTTTAACCATAACCACCCTCAAACCATAAACTCCCCCTAACTAGGCTTTAACCATAACCACCCCCTATGCTCTAACCATAACAACTTACAAACCATAAACCCCACCTAACTTTGCCAACCTCAAAACATAAACGTCTCCTGACTATGACAAGCTCTAACTATAACCAACCGCTAACCATAAACACCATCCTAACTATGATAACCTCTAACCATAAGACTCCATATTCTACGTATATATTTCAGCTTGATTGTATTACTGAGTACCCAGCTCTTTCTTGCTCCCCCCCTAACCTTTACCCTTGGTGTAATCTGTGTGTATTGTTTTATACACCCAGTCCCCAATCCGAACGTAGTCTGAGTGTGTGATTTGTAACGCCACTGGAAACACGATGTCCCTCTGTGCCTCATTTCCCATCATGCTCATCTAACATATGGACTTCATGTCAAAATAACAAAGTTGAAAAAAATATCCCAAAAGTTTACTTCTTCTAAAATGTTGCAGTTTAGCTTTAATTCCCCACAGTTTTCAATTTAGTGAATATTCCCCCAGACGATCTTACTGAATCGTTTCACAGTGCATTGCGCAGTAAAGGGTTAGCACTGTCTTGCGCTCCAGTGGGCGAAATGCTCGCTTGGTGACAGTTTGCTTGGGCAATTACTGATTTGCAAGACAGCCGGCTAGTTCAGCTTTCAGGAGGGAAGTGGGGAGAGAACTGGGTTGCTGCAGAGAATATCTTGAAGCAATATCCTGACACATAGTGATTGCTCAAAAGTAACATTTCAGTGGAAGAAGGGAAGGCATGTTTGGAAATGTAACTTCTGCTTTAACTGTTAAGTTTTCACAGTGCATTTAAAAGTTTTAGCCCCAAATATCATTCTCACCCCATTACCTGGTAGCGTGCTTCTTGCATTGAGCTTAATGATAGTGCTGGATATATTTCCCATGAGCAATCCAACTGCCATCTTGGATCAACAAACCATTAAATTATTTTAGTGAAAGTTGTGTTGTGTGCCTTGTGCTGAACATGGAATAGTTTAACCTTATTTATTGCTATTCAATACCACATGTTGTACCCCACTCCCAGCATTGTAAGGTTTGATGTAGTGGGGACATGCTAGTGCCTTACAGGGAGTGGAAAGGGAACATGTCGTGGTGATATCTATGAAGGAGTTCGACATTTTTACATCATTGCATTGCCCTCAATACCGAACTTGTACATATGTCTAACAAAGTGATGTCTAGCCTTAAGGACAGCTGAGCATCTTGGGTAGTGCAGAAACACCTGGGGTGTATAGCCATGGGTGCACCAACACAATGTATGTGTCTTTCTATATGCAAAGCCCAACTAATGTCTTTTAAAGCTGCTCTGTCACTTTTCAGTATTTAATGAATATATAAATTTTACAAAATACTGATCCTGAATGTGTTTGAATTTCATTGACACTCTAACTCAATCCAAAGATACCATAAACTAAGTAGTAGGACAAGCCTGAAGTTGACAAAAGTTATTAAAAGGCGGAGTTTTGCCACCAACTATTGTCCTGTGGGATGCAGGCATCGTCTCGCTTATCACTGGGATTGGATCTTGGTTTTGAACATTAAAATGTTTCCTGATCCCTTTGTGCACCGTTACTCTGTTCGTATAATAGAAATGTCAGAATTTCAATATAACGCTATGGAATAACTAGATTGTCAGCTCTGTAGCAAGAGCATGATGTTCATTGTATGACCTATTGCTCTGTCTTTGCAGCTCTCATTTTGGAAGGTATAAATTGTAAGCTCTGAGGGCAAGGGTCGGCTGTCCTATTTATGATTTATTTTTATTTTTTCCTCTCTTTTTGCAGTTTACATGGCAGGAGGCATCGTGGCAGTCGCCGGACAGTTTAAAAACTGGCAGTTCGGTGCTTATGGAATGTATCCTTTGTGAAATTTAGTAAATATTTTAGGTAACTCCAGGTATTCCAGCTGTTTGAGAGTTATCGGAGATGTAGTCACAACGTATCATTGGAATTATAGTCCCAGAAAGTCATCGTTCACAGAACTTAGAATGAAGGAAGATGCCAATTTTAAATCTCTATGTACACATGATTTGTTATTTTTATAGGATAATCTTGCTATATTTTGCCCAGTTCCTTCTCCCTTCTTTTTGTTAATGGGTTACTCACTAAACTGTGAATTGCTAGGGATTTCAGGCCAAAATAGCTGATAGGAAAAAAGTGGATGTGGACAATTATTTTAATGTGGCTATTTTGACCGTAAAATGTGCAACTTCTTCGTAGGAAATCCCTCAACATTTCTGAATAACTCCTAACACACCTTACATACATGCATTACTATTCTGCTATTTGAAGACGTGTGTCTTTAAATATGAGGTTACCTTTATACTTTAACACAAATGTCAGGCACACACCAACGCTCTTTTAAAGACGATTAATAATTATTTCTGTCTTACGATCTCCCGGTCTATATCTCATAGCTTTCTAACTCTGTAACTAAAACATTATATGGAGTTACTGTGCAGCGGGGGCTGGGATAATTCTAATAAGCCCGTAGATAATTTCTGTTGGTACCATTACCACCCAAAAGCTGTTAATAATCAAGTGAGCCATAAAAGTAGTTTTTGATTTATTTAGAAACCTCTCTTTATTTTATTGTTCTACTTGTTGAGGTAATGCAATTATATATTTTAAATTGTCACCACCAATTATTTATTTTGCATCCATCTCTTATCTGTTCATCATTTACACCCCAAAAACAAACACAAATAATACAGCGGAATTTCCAACCCAATGCAGTCATTGTTCTTGTCGGTTACTGTTTGGAGGAGTTCCAGAATATCTGTAATGACCTCTTCCTCTGTGTCATTGACCTTCTTCTCCTTTTTTTTTTTTTTTGCCCCTGGGCCAAATTGTGCTCACTCAGGACAAACTTCCTTTCTTATGATAGGGGAAGTTTTGTTTTTTGCCGATCTAATTACTTCATTTATTAGGCCAAGGTGCCAATTAGAGATCTAATCAGACCACTGCCGAGAAATCTCTAATTATTCGTCTTCAAAGAATGCAGGTCTATTTATAGCGGCAGAATGACAATGGTGTTGATCATCACTCATTAGCCGTAACTCAGATAATTATTATAATTATTCTCTTATGCTCCAGTATTACACAAGTTACTATTACTTTAAATCTGGTGGGAAGAATTTTCTTATTGATATAAGAACTGTGAACATAGTTTGATGCAAATATCTGTGGTCTGCAATGCAACCTGCAAAGTCCAGAATGCTATGCTTTAAACACTTAAATGCAAATTAATTGTTTGAGTATAATTATGTTTATAGGATCACTATAGTGTTCTACTCACTGATTAGATTTTTGGGCCCTCTCAAATTCTGTAAAAAAAAAACAAAAAAAAACAACCTTTTGTTACACTTTTTTTTTTGATCCAGTGTCGATCTATCCTCCAGCAAATTCATGCTGACTCCTCTTTGTCTTCTCATCCAGTCTAATGCTTCTCATAGAGAAGTATTGAGGATGAAGTGCATGCGCGGCTGATCACTGTGCTCTTTAAATGAAATGCCCTTTATGAGAAGCATTGATTGACGTATCGAGTGTGACTGTTATTGAGATGAAGTGGTCTTTGACCACAATGAGTCCCAAAACTGGTATATTTGGATGAGGTCAACTGTGCCCCTTTTACTCTCACCTTACGCAGAGGGGCATGCAAATTCCAAACTTGTAGGAGTTCAGACTGAAAGAACAGCACAGTCTAGATCTGGGATAAAGTTTAATCTGTGCCATGGGAGGTTCTTGATGTCATTAAGAAAGGATTCAAGATTACTTATTTTTTTTTTTTTTTTTTGAAGGACCTGGTAATTTTTAATCTTGGGAGAGGATTTAGTAGCTTTTATTTTGAGAACGCAGTGATTACTGGAACTGTTAGGGAGAACACCTGCCTCCTGGATTATATCAGGAAAAGTGGAGAGAATCCATTCTAGCAGGGTATGGTTATGGCTTTTAATGTTTATTTGAGTTGGGGAGGAGATTAATTGCGTTAGCTGCAAAGTCTTAAACAGCGTGCAAGAACTATTTTTAGGTTTCAGCCAATCAATATTACAATCTCCAAAGACCAACCATTCACTTTTAGGGTTTTGAGCTATGGTTTCACTAAGAAGATGGGCTATGTCAGATAGGGAAAGCACTGGGGAGCTAGGTGGGCGGTAGATTCCTGCAACAATTATTGATTTTCTGCACGGGATCTCAATTGTGCCATAAAGGAAATCAAAGTGTGTGTGTGTGTGTCTCAGATATGTGGGTCTGTGTGTCCCGGACAGTTAGCTGCACCGTGGGTCTGTGTGTCCCGGCCAGTTAGCTGTGGACCAGTGAGATGAGCCAGAGTCATTAACTCAATGTTGTGAATTATAGTAGATCTAACCAGAAAGGAAACTTTGAACCAATCTCATACAAAACCTTCCTTGACGTCCACTCCCAGTGCTGCTGGAGTCTTCATTTCTCTTTTGGAATACCCCCGAAGTAAGCGAAAGAAGGGATCTACAATGGAAAGATGGTAACTTTTTTTGTTAACTTAGCTCTCAAAGGAGGCAATTTCTTAACATACACAGTTATTCAATAAAGTGAGAATTCCACGTGAATTTAAAGTCCGTTCTCCATGTCCACTATACTTTGAGTTCGGACACTCTGACCTTAAATTTTTATATTTATGAATAATCAAGATCGATCTTTCTTTCGTCCATGGAATAAATGGTACTGTCTGTTCTCTCTCTTACAGCGGTCAGTCTGCCATCACTCCTGTTGTGAAGGTATTTGGCCCACTCACACGGAACTACTATGTGCGTGCTATACTGCACGCAGGGTAAGTAAGGTGTATTCTATTTACCTATTTAATATTTTTTTTTTAAATTTTTTTTTTTATGAAAAGAACTTCTGATTCATTTGAGCATTATAAATAAAAAAAAAGTCCTCAAAATGTCACAAACACCTAGCAATGCTTGATGGTCTTCTAGAATGAAAAAAACTTTTTTACCAATTGCAAAGAAAAGTTGATGAAAGCTGCCTTTTTAACGTAGTTCAAGCCAAGATTTATATTTTGTTAAAGGGTAACTCCAAGTGGGACATTCCTTATGGAAATAGTATCTTTAAAATCTGGTTTGTTATGCATTATTACACCATTGGTTCTCTAGGGATAAACCAATCACACATGTAATAAAATTGAAAAGGTTTATTTAATGTTGTAGTCGCTTTAAGTTAAGTGGTATACATCTCTACATCCTCACCAAAAAAAGCATGGTTTCTGGTGTTTCCCTCACTTGCTCTTTCTGTGTAAGTGGATTAAAAACCAACAGATTTATGTGCAGGTTAAATAAAACGTTAAGAGATTAATAGTGTAGTATCTTTGCTTTTCCAACAGTTTGGCAGTGCCTGGCGGGTTCCTCCTGGCTACTATCTTGGGCACCGTGTGCCTTGGCATTGCCAGCATCATCTACTTACTGGTGAGTACAAGTGTGAGGGGGGGGGGAAATTTTTTTATTTTTTTTTTTAATTTGTGCATGTCACAAAAACAACTAAAAATGAACATAAACCAGTCAATCTATGGAAGTTTTCACCCAAAGGCCGTTATACAAAGCACTTGGGGTTCAAACCCATGGTGTGTAAAATGGTAAAAGAAAAGAGGTGCATTACAAAGCCTTATAGGCTGTCAGATCTAATGTGAATACCCAGTGATGTATTTAGGATTTTGGCTAGTCAAAGCCCTGTTGGGTCTACACGCTTCATACTGACACAAACCTCTTACTGTATGTATGTATGTATGTATGATCGATCAGTATATGTATCTCTATATGAAGGTTCTTTATGGCAATTAATTACCTTGACACTACATGTCTTTAAACTCCACTCCCCATGCTGCTCATCCAGCCCCCAGTAAAATCATATTTCATACACATCTGGTGTGCAGAAGTTGGCCATTGCTGTATTAGTTTAAGACAGAGGAGTGACGAGCAGCACTGTAGATGTTGTAAACTCCATCTGCCCTTATGCCGTTTCAGCATTCTGTCAGTAAGCGCGTTATGGGAGATGTAGTAGTATTGAAGGTTGCCTACCCCTGAACTAGGAATGAGATACTAATGGAATAAGATATGGGTTCCACCATAATTTGATCCCCTGCAACATAAAGTGAAAACACACACACCACCCCCCACTCTCCCCTGGACTAATGTTTAAAATGCTTTTGTTAAACCATAGGCAGCTATACGAGGGGAGGAGTGGCGCCCAATTGAAATGAAACCGGAGACAAAGCCAAGAATTGCTGAAACAATTAAACGACCTCCTGAAAATCCACCCCCTCGCCCACCACCTGAGGTGCGTAGGAAGCAGGTGGATGAAGGTGCTGCAGGTGTTGGATATAGCAACCCTATTCCAGTTGGTGATGAAGTATGACATTCTCAATAAATGAGGTCTACCCTGGCAGAATCTCCCCTACCTCTGCCATACACGCCCTAGAGACATTTGCAGAAAAATACAGACATCATGGTCTACCCAATAATCTGTTACTATATCTCACCAGCTTTCTTCTGGTCTATCCAAATTGATGACCCTGAGAACGGGTCTGTAGACCTTCTGTTCTCTCTACAGTGATCAGCTCAAGCCTTTTTTAGAGGTAACCGGTGGTTGCGCAAGAAGCCACAGTAGTGCATTCCTCCTCTTGACACCAAAAGGAAATATATCTACAAGGTATATAATTGCAACATTATACTCTACTTCCTTATTTATCACAATGGAACTTCCTGAAAACAGACAGCCCTTTCCAGGTTCTAAAATGCAAGTTATTTCCTAAATTTCTGTAGCTGTGCCACACTGTACAACCACAAAAACAGATTGGACATACTCCACACTATAAATCAATTACAAGCTATCGAAATTTCCCAAAGATCAGTTACCTCTGATGCCCAAAAATATATATATTAGCAATTATAAAATAAATCTGTTTCCTGCCTTTTCACTTTACAAAGAGTTGGATAATCTAATGCCACAAAGACCACCTGGGGTTTATGTTTTAAAAATATTGCTGCTTCAGCAAATGTGTGCCCACTAATAGGTCAATTATTTATCTATATATATATTTTCACCTAGTGTAATTGTGAATACCTACTATTACTCTTGATTTAGCGGTAATAGAAGATCATTGGCTATGCTGGCTGTCAATCAAAATGTGGTCAAACTAAGCCATCTAAACATAATGTGGTGGGTTGTACAAATGGCACATGGACACAATGGTCCTCTTTGATGTAAAGAGTATGGGTTCGCATGGTCTATTTCCACCACCCCTCGCCATGTCACTTAATATTTACTCTGCGTCTCCATGAGCTGTGCGGATTGGAGGAACACACGGATTGGAGTGTCCACTTAAAGAGTGCCTACAAAACAAAGGAGGTTGTACAAGTGAATAATTTCTTTGCTATACAAACTTGCTTTAATAATAAAAGTTTAAATTACACCCGAGTGTCCATTGACTTGGTGCAACTTTCTTTGTTTCATGTCCGTGAGATCATTTTGCTCTCTCAAATGCTGCTTAATCACCCTGATGTTCATTATGAGTTCCATGTTGCTCAGGATCACGATGTCAAGGGCATGATTGTTCAGGTGGGTCTCCATATTTTATCTTTAAAAAGGTAATCATCAAGTAGTCACCATATATTGAAGTGGGTATTTCTTTAGCTGTGCCCAAATCACACACCTTCCTTCAGGTGGGTCACCATGTCCTTTCATGGAGGGATTCTTCTTTCTTGTGGGTATATTTGTTTATTTCTAAATCCTCCACTCACTTGAGTGCAAAAATGATCTGAAAAGAGGACATAGGCCTAGTGGTATTACCAATAACACACAAAAGAAACTGCACATTAGATTCTAATTCTAGTAAATATTAGGCCTTTGGTACCGGCATTAAAACATAATATACATCAATTATTTGCTGTCAATTTGAATAATTCGTATGGAGATTGCATCATCTGCCACAACTCATGCACATAAAGATTTGTAGGTTTATTTACAAAAGTAAGAATTGTTGGTAGCAAAGTGAATTTCAAACTTGGTCACAATAGCCGACCTGGAAACATTCTGCAAATTCAGTATGCTTGTAATTAGGCTATTTTGGTCTACATTTGAAATTCACTTTGAATTTACAACAAGTTTCTGTGGGCAAATCACAGATCCCAGACAGACATACAATAAATTCTACATTGGTCACTGATCGAAGAATAATTGTTTAACTGAACTTAAAATGTGTTGTCTGCTTGGAAACCAATCACATGCTATACTGTGTCAGTTCAGCTAGGATAGCAACCAATGAGAGGAAACCGGGACAAAGACACAGGTGTGCTACATCACCAGGTAATATATGTATATTAACACCACTGGAGGGAGCACCACGTTAAACAAGGCTGTACTGAACCTAGAATGCTCTAAGAATGAGTTACAGAGTTATGCAATTTTGTGTGAATCTTCAGGTTTTCAAAGTAAATTAAAAATTTTAGACCAAAATAAAGTGAAAAATATAGCTGAATTTTTGCATTGGTCACACTTTACCGAGTTATTCACCAAACTCTGAATTGTAGTGAAACAAAAAAAATAAATACTTAAACATGGTACACACTATAACAAACTCATTTAAATGAAGTAGTAGTTGTAGTGCTTAAAAAAGAAACACACACACTATCTCCCCTCCTCCACCCCCCCCCTCGATTACTTGATTTTAACAATTAGAAGGCTTGGAAGCACGGCTACAAGCCATGCCTCCACCCCTATAGGTATGAGATCTGGGACTGTTACTACCCAGCTCTCATACCCCAGCATACTGTGATGTCAGACGCGCACGTGTAGTGCCGTCATAATCATTGCATGCAATGATTCTCTTGATGAAGGTCTCATAGTGAGACTGAAATGTTGCCTTCTATCCTCTTGATCCAATAAAGCTGCTGAATGGAAGTCATCGTGCGCCCACGCTATATTTGTATTATGGCAGAATCGTAAGCTCATCATGGCGAGCTCCACGCATGTGCCTGTGGTCCTCAATGCTCCTCTACAATGAGCATTTGATCAGAATGTCATCCTGAAGATACCCATCCAAGATGACAGCACGCTAGGAGCAGGCCGCTGCAGCGCCGAGAAAGATTTGGCGTTAGAAAGGTGAGTAATTATTTTTGTCCCGTTTATTTTCATTTTCAAAGTGTAGGCAGGGAGCGGCCCAGAAACTAACCAGGACAATTAAACCTATAGTATAAGGAATCCAGCGTTCCTTTAACAATGACCGTTGAAATAAAACGTGTTTTTTGTAAAAAATTTTTATACGGATTCCTAAATCACAATAATCCACTATCTCATCTCTATGAGAAACGTTGCACTGGAGATTTGTCCTTGTTTCTTTTCTACACAACGTACTTAAAGGGAAACTATAGTATCAAGAAAACAAAGTTGTTTGTTGTAGCTCCCTATAGTGCCCCTCTCCGTCAAGGCATTCCCCCACCCCCTTGTAGTGCAGAAGGGGTTACAACCCCTTTTGATACTTACCTGAGTACAGCACCGATATCCATTGGCGCTGGTTCATACCCCGCAGACGTCAGCCGTAAAACTTACCCCAGAGAAAAGCATTATATAATGCTTTCCTATTGGACTTTGGGTGACGCTGGATTATTTCCTCATACATAGCGTGAGGACGTCCAGCGTCACTTAGAGAACCAAAATTCTCCTAGCGACCCGGAATTCCCTCTAGTGGCTGTCTGGTAGAGAGCCATTAGAGGAGGAATTAACCCACATAAGTAATCATTGCAGTTTATTTAAAATGCAGGGTTAAGGGACATGGGACACTGCACCCACAGCACTTAGTGTCTCTTTAATGGGCCTATAGTGTCCCTTCAATAGGACATTGTCCAGCATTGACAGGAAGTAAGCACTGGGCAAACATGCTGTGAATCTTCAATACTGGCAGAGGACAGTCATACAGGTAATGGAGCTCCACCAGAAACAGGACAATAATACAGAAAGCTGAACAGAATGAATGGTTACTGCTGCTTTAAACAGGGACAGCTCCCAGGCCTGGTAATACTATAAGGCCTGGGTCTGAATAAACTAAGCCCATAGTACTGGACAGATCCAGGGCCCCTTAATAAAAAATAAATTAATTAATAATAATAATAATAATATATAAATCAGCTATTCAGTGGGCTGGTTTGTTTTAACCCCTTAAGGACACATGACATGTGTAACATATCATGATTCCCTTTTATTTCAGAAGTTTGGTCCTTAAGGGGTTAAGGAACACCAGTCATCCATGCTAGTCTCTGACGTCATCAGTGCCCGCCCTAGAGGCTCCTGGTGATGACATCACAGGCATGGTGCTGGCCATAGACATAGAACACAGGAAGGGGAGTCCAGGTACTTTATATAATAACAATATAGTATTATTAGTATTATTATAGCTATCCAGGTACTTTATATAATAACAATATAGTATTATTAGTATTATTATAGCTATCCAGGTACTTTATATAATAACAATATAGTATTATTAGTATTATTATAGCTATCCAGGTACTTTATATAATAACAATATAGTATTATTAGTATTATTATAGTTATCCAGGTACTTTATATAATAACAATATAGTATGTTTAGTATTATTATAGCTATCCAGGTACTTTATATAATAACAATATAGTATTATTAGTATTATTATAGCTATCCAGGTACTTTATATAATAACAATATAGTATTATTAGTATTATTATAGTTATCCAGGTACTTTATATAATAACAATATAGTATTTTTAGTATTATTATAGCTATCCAGGTACTTTATATAATAACAATATAGTATTATTAGAACTATCCAGGTACTTTATATAATAACAATATAGTATTATTAGTATTATTAGTGCTATCCAGGTACTTTATATAATAACAATATAGTATTATTATAGTTATCCAGGTACTTTATATAATAACAATATAGTATTAGAGCTATCCAGGTACTTTATATAATAACAATATAGTATTATTAGTATTATTAGAGCTATCCAGGTACTTTATATAATAACAATATAGTATTATTATAGCTATCCAGGTACTTTATATAATAACAATATAGTATTATTAGTATAGCTATCCGGGTACTTTATATAATAACAATATAGTATTATTAGTATTATTATAGTTATCCAGGTACTTTATATAATAACAATATAGTATTATTAGAACTATCCAGGTACTTTATATAATAACAATATAGTATTATTAGTATTATTAGAGCTATCCAGGTACTTTATATAATAACAATATAGTATTATTATAGTTATCCAGGTACTTTATATAATAACAATATAGTATTAGAGCTATCCAGGTACTTTATATAATAACAATATAGTATTATTATAGCTATCCAGGTACTTTATATAATAACAATATAGTATTATTATAGCTATCCAGGCACTTTATATAATAACAATATAGTATTATTATAGCTATCCAGGCACTTTATATAATAACCATATAGTATTATTATAGTTATCCATGTACTTTATATAATAACAATATAGTATTATTAGTATTATTATAGCTATCCAGGTACTTTATATAATAACAATATAGTATTATTATAGCTATCCAGGCACTTTATATAATAACCATATAGTATTATTATAGCTATCCATGTACTTTATATAATAACAATATAGTATTATTATAGCTATCCAGGTACTTTATATAATAACAATATAGTATTAGAGCTATCCAGGTACTTTATATAATAACAATATAGTATTATTAGAGCTATCCAGGTACTTTATATAATAACAATATAGTATTATTATAGCTATCCAGGCACTTTATATAATAACAATATAGTATTATTATAGCTATCCAGGTACTTTATATAATAACAATAGAGTGTTATTATAGCTATCCAGGTACTTTATATAATAGCAATATAGTATTATTAGTATTATTAGAGCTATCCATGTACTTTATATAATAACAATATAGTATTATTAGAGTTATCCAGGTACTTTATATAATAACAATATAGTATTATTATAGCTATCCAGGCACTTTATATAATAACAATATAGTATTATTATAGTTATCCAGGCACTTTATATAATAACAATATGGTATTATTATAGCTATCCAGGTACTTTATATAATAACAATATAGTATTATTAGTATTATTATAGCTATCCAAGTACTTTATATAATAACAATAGAGTATTATTATTATTATTAGAGCTATCCAGGTACTTTATATAATAACAATATAGTATTATTAGTATTATTATAGCTATCCAGGTACTTTATATAATAGCAATATAGTGATATTATAGCTATCCAGGTACTTTATATAATAACAATATAGTATTATTATAGCTATCAGGGTACTTTATATAATGACAATATAGTATTATTAGTATTATAATAGCTATCCAAGTACTTTATATAATAACAATATAGTGTTAT